GAGAACTCGAAAGGAGAGGCTTCACCACCCATTTATCCCTCCGCCTTTCAACCAGCACCACATGTGATTATCGGCCAGGCTGGCACAATTAACTAACTCATCCTTCTTGATCTGCCAGTAGAACGTCTAAGGCCCATCTATGGTCCGTTACTTGGTTGGAGTATTCTAATGAGCTACGCCCAGCCTTCAAACCTTGTCCTACAACTTCATCAGGTCCTTCTGTAAGTACCAAAGAAGTATGGATTGTGTGAGCTTTCTAGGCTACTCCTCCAGCTATGCCTTCTCCAGCTCAGACCAATGCTGTAAGGCCCAAGGCTACTTGTTTCTTTGGAGGGGAGGTCGCCATTGGCTCGGTAACCAAAGGCATAAGATTCTTTAAAATGTATAAGGTTCCTTCAAGAGGTACAGCACATCCAGTCATACATCTGCCTCATGCAGCTGAATGATCAATGTAATTTAGAGCCCAGGATCTTCCTTTATGGTCCTGACAGGTGAACCATAATCCTGAGTGGGTACAGGCTACTACTGACAGCTGTTATCCATCTAGATCTGTAAAAGGGAAGGATGGAAGTGCAAGATGTCACACCTGGTGCCTCAGGGTCCCCAGAAAGTAGAGTCTTATGTAAAAAGGAATTCTCTGTCAAAGTTCCATCTAAGGAGTCTGCCCACATGTATTGAATATAGTGGTCCACTTTCCACATCTGTTGATCTAAACATTTTTGATGCCTTGGGGACTATTGAAACATTGGTAAGTGAATGCTTGGGAGGGATAACAATACTAAGTGAAAGTCCCAGCTTGGTGACACAGCTTAATCTACTTATCCAGTTTCCAAAAGTATATACAAGGTGTCTTAAAGTATTTGAGAAAGCCCCCACTTACTGTGGATGGCATCTGATCCTTGGGCCATATTAACAACCGAAAAGGCTGCAATTCTGGGAATACACCTGAAGCATTCGAAAAAGGCTGAAAACACCGGGGAAAATGCCTGGTATCATTAACTGTGATACTCTTAGTGGTTGAGATATGTTAAAATGTTCCTCATCTGTAGCACTTCCTTATTCTCACAAATGACCAAGAGCAAAAAAACTAGATAAAAGGAACAAGGAAAGTTGGACTGGTTCCACTCTGGGTGTTTATCCATGGTCATACCTCAGGTAGATTTGTTATAAACCTCTAGGAGTTGTGAGATAGCAAGAAGAAACGAAACTAGCAAGGCCACCATCTTAGAATCCTGACTCCCAGGTACCAGTGGAGAAAGGCTGGTGAAATTAAAGCAAAGCTTAAAAAGGTATCTGTGAACAGAGATACTTTGAAGGGCTTTATGGCAAACCCAGCAGTCACTCGAATTGGCTTCCTGTACTAGTATTTGAGATAGGTCTACCAAAATGTTGTGGGAGCCAACTGAGGTAATACTTCAAAAATACACATACTCAAAAGTCCAAAACCAAATTTTACCAACCAGGGAACTCATCCACACAAAATTCTTCATTATCATTGGTAAGATTGCGAGCATAACAATATTTTAGGCACACTCCACCTATATGCAAAACACAAGTGAAGAGCAAAACAAGCAAAAGAACCCAACCAAACAAAAGCAACAGGCATAATTTAGAAGCCCAAGGAGTACTCAT